TATCATGGTAGTCACTTGCACACATGGAAGGATGCTAAAGTGTAAACACTTACCGAGTACACCGAGCCAAAACATAAACTAGTTAGTAATCATTGCATGATCCTAGTTCATGTTAAGATGGCTAATGCAACACATGCAAAATGCCGCTAAGATAGGCTCTGCTATTCTAAGATGGCATATGAGATGCTACAGATAACACACATTCAACTTGGAATTAAAATACGATGCAGTTAGTATGATGCGCCGAGCCTGGTGCATGCAAGACAGATGAATGGATGCAAACATGCGAGCATAAGGATGCTAATTGAAACATGCCCTAAAACTAACCATAAAAAGCAGGTAAGTAAAAGGGAGAAAGACGTGGGGTTAGAAGACATGCATCACACACACGCACACTTATTACAAAATTCGCCCTCTCGACGGAGGGTCCGAATAAATAATACAGAACCAACTAACTAATCTAAGCTAATCTAATTAAACTAGTTATTACACAATAGAATGAGTAAAGTCACAGCTAATTATTACACAACTCTAATTAATCAACAAATTAACTAAATAAGCAATTTAAATAAGTATGTAAACTAAATGAAGTAGGCTATCTTAGTTCTGTTTTAAATGACAAAGGATGCATGCATGGTTGAATTGCCTTGTTCGGAAATCCCTCGCAACGCCCCGACTTGCCTCTGTTTGCAATTGACCTCAGAACACTGCACAAGGCTCCAGAAGGTTAAAACTCCACCATGGGAATCTGTGGGAAGGCTGCCGACCAGTTATTAGCCTTGGAGACCACCTGTCGACCACTTTTGTGTGAAAACCCAGAAAAGGTGGTCAGCCAGCCACTAAATCTGGTCGGCCGACTAGTTTCTGCCCCTGGTTTCTGGTTTTCTGCAACAGAAGGCAAGAGAGAGAGATGGCAAAGTATTCGCAACACATGTGTGCACGACCACTCTCCCCATCATTGCATCAGCTCAAGGGAGTGTAGTCCTTGACCCTCGGGCCACCAATCACATATCTCGATGCATGATGGCCGAGGAGTCCAATTGCACGACTTAATATGGAATGAATGCACATATGAACACGTAAAGCCTAGAACTCCATCATGTATAGTCAAGAGTGTCAGCTACTGGGAATTAAGGCACGTTTCATCACTTTAAGTACGAAACGTCCCTCGTTTCCCGTGTTTGGACTAACTCCTATTCCAAACATGATGCAACAAACATGGCATGCACAATACGACTTCAAGTATGCAACCTAATGCAATACAACTTAGACATGCAAACATGCAAGGGATGAACATGCAAACATGCAACTAGCATACACAATGCTATGAGCTAACAATGGCATACTCAAAGCACATGATACTTAGCATACACAATGCACGTAGAAACTAACATACACAATGAGATGAACAAGGCATGCACAATGCAATGATCAATCATGCGACAATATGGCATACTAAATGCTATGAATTACAATGACATACTCAATGCAAAATGGACTTAAACAAAAATGGATGGGCCTTAGCCACGCCCAAATGAGTGGCCAATGGGATGAAATAAAGGCACAAAATACAAAGCATGCATGCACAATGCATTGGCCAATACAAGAGGCCCAAGAGCACAACTCTCAAGAGTGCTCAAAGAGCGACAAATGTGCAGGTGTAAAGAAACTAAGTGCACTGAAATTAAGTAAGAAATGATGCCAAATCATTCAAACAAAGCAAGTAGAGCATGCAAGGGTCCTAAGGCATGAGAGCTATCAAAGAGGACTACACATGAGGCATGCAATGCATGGAAAATATGCATGAACTAAGCATGGACAGAGTTGGAATAGGTCTTAACAAAGACCAAAATGTGCTAAGATGAGGGCCCAAAGTCTTAGGCGTGCAAGCATACACACTAAGGCATGAACTAGGCAACAATGCATAACCATCAAAGGCATTCAAAACATGAATGAAGTGAAAACATGGAAAGTCTATATGTTTTGAAATGTGATGTTAAGTGATGCCAAATCAAGTACACAACACAAATAAGCATGCAATGATGCTCAAAGCTTGAGGTAAGCAAGAGCATTTACACTACAGATATACAAAACATGAAGCATGTGATTAAGGCAACCAAAAACAGTCCTAGTACATGTTAATATGAGACTAAAACATGCATGGATGGAAGCCAAAATGTGCTAGCATGAGGGGCATGAGGCATAATGCATACAAGACAAATAAGGTGGATTACACTACACCTATTAGGACCAAGCATGGGATGACTCCACCAATAAAAATTAGAGTTATATAATGGCAAAATAACCCCAAATAAGCACTGAAATGATGGCTCTCAAGCAAAGGCATGAATACATACACAATGGCTCGTGTTAAGGCATAAAGGGGGAACCCTCCAACGCATTGATTGAGTGACAAATGCAAGTACATGGCCATGAAACATGGACTGAAATAGTATAACTAAAGATGCAAAATCATTGAAATGAGCCAAATAATGCATGCTAATGGACCCAATGCACAAAGCAAACAAGCTAGGTTGAACCAAAGCTATACAAAGCAAGTCATGGATGACCAAGACAACCAAAATCAGACCTTAAACATGGAAAAACATGAACAAAGTCTTCTTGAAGTCAAGCCAAAAGCATGCTAAAAAGACATGTGCCCACATGATGCATGTTAGGCTATTTCATGGGATTGCATGGCAAGTGTATGGAGCATGCAAAGGCGAACCAAACCAAACCAAAATAGAGTCATGATATGGTAAAACATCATCAAAAACACGCTGAAATGGGAAGAAAACAAGCTAGAATGACATGTCAAGGCATGAAGCATATAAAGCTAGTTTAAGGGATTTACACTACAAGTGTGCATGGAAAGAATCATTCAACCAAGAGGCCTTAAAACAGAGCTAAGGCAGTCCAAAATATGAATAAAATCAGTTTGGATCATGACCAAAATATACTAGAATAGAGGGCCAAAACATCATGCATTTCAAGCTAGTAAACAATGATTTACACTACAAGCATATGAAGCATATGAGAGGCTACCAAACCAGCCAAAAACAAAATCATGGCATGCCAAATGATGGCCAAAAACCTAATGAGACATGACCAATACATGCAAGAATGAGGTGCTACTTTGATAAGTCATGAAAGGGATTATTCTACACATGCAAGAGGCAAACACAAGGTGACCAAACCAGCCATAGACAGAGTCTAGGAAGGTCCCAAAAGTCACCAAAAAGGGCCTGAACCAAGCCTTGGAAGTAAGAAAGTATGTGCTCCTTTGAAAGGCCAAAAATGCAAACAAACAAGGCCAAAAGAGAGAGGGTCTCCCCTCTCTGATTTAGGCCCTCAAAATCAAATGCCAACCACTGAAAATCCGTTAGATTTCAGTGGCTAAAAGGCCAAGCAAAGATCAACACAAAGGTCTCATGGCATGGTACAAAACAAGGCTAAATAGAGCATGCAAGAGGGTAGATGACCGTCAACACCAAAAGAGCCTTAAACAAACATGAAAAACACTTCAATATGAAGCTTTTTTCAGTTGACAACAAAGCCTAAACATGCATGCAAGTATGGCTAAGAGAATGATCAAGATAGAGCTTAAAAAGAGGGAAAATGAGTTACCCTTGTAGCTCAGCAAAACCAGCAAGTTTTGGGACAAAAAACCAACTCTTAAACCTCTGAAAATCCCCTCCAAGAACCTTAGATCAATGGTGGAGGTGTATGGCTATGAGGTGTGGTGCAATAGGTCAAGAACAATCCATTCTTTGAGCCAAAAATAGAGAGATATAGAGGGAGATATATATTTTTTACCTTATGCCAATTTTCAGAACCTCAGACAAGAGAGGGAGCCTTTCCTCTGATAGAGCAACAAGCACCAAGCTTGTTGAAGAAGTTTGAAGCTAGATGCAAACCCTCCATACACGTGTATGGAGAATGCAATCTGTGCACTCCAGCTGGTACAGCTGGCATCCACAACACCTGTAGAATATGTAGAAAGGCCGCCGACCAGTTAAAGTGGTCGGCCCGCCACCTTTATTGGTTGGCCGACCACTTTTCATGAGAAAGTGGTCCCCCAGCCACTTTTTCTGGTCGGCCAGCTACTTTTTCTGGTCGGCCAGAAAACAAAGTGGTTTCCAAGGGTAATTGGTGGTCTCCACACTGAAAGAAAGCCAGTGGTGTGGTGCGAGAACAGCAAATGTGGCCCAAAGACCAAGGAGACTAGTTTTCCGACCAGAAAATCGGCTGGCGGGGAGAAAAATGGTCTCCAAGGATAAAAGCTAGTTTCCAGGGGTAATTGGTGGTCTCCACACTGAAAGAAAGCAAGTGGTGTAGTGGGAGACCAGCAAATGTGGCCCAAAGACCAAGGAGACTAGTTTCCTGACCAAAAAATCGGCTGGCGGGGAGAAAAGTGGTCTCCAAGGAGAAAAAGCTAGTTTCCAAGGAGAAAAAGTGGTCTCCCACCCTTGTACCACTTCCCAAACAAGGAAAGCAAGGTTTGTACCCAAGACAAACCAAAACGGAAGCAAAATGAGACTTCGGGAGGCAAGACGCGCAGTCGAGGGCCTCGAAAACTGGCTGTTGAGCACAAAAAGTGGCGTATGACCACAAAAGTAGTCTCCTGGACCACAGTGTCCCTCTAGATAGAGGAAACAAGGTGTGTTCCAAAAAACGTGCCAAACGGAGAGTTTTAAGCGGTCCCGAACCGATGCGCCCGGCCGACGGCTCCGAAAATTGAAAACTAGTCTCCAAACGGGAACCGTGGCCTACGACCACGAAAAGTAGTCTACGACCACTGAGAGATGGTCTACCAGACCTCTCCCTCCCTTCAGGAAGAGAAAACAAGACTTAGTCCGCAGACCGAGTCAAAATACAAAGAGTCCCGAGGTCCAGAGGTGAGGCTCTCAGCCAAGAACTCCGAAACCTCGAAATGAGCACAACATGTGCAATCACCGAGCGCTCAATCGGTGACATCCGAGTCTTAAGGTCAGTCAAAAATGGGGTGTCTACAGTTGTATAAATGTATATCTAAAATCATTGCTGATAGGATTAAGTCTTTCTTACCTGACCTTGTCGATCCTGTGCAATCTGCCTTTGTCCAAGGTAAGAGAATTTCTGATAATATTTTCCTGTCTCAAGAACTTATGAGAGGCTACCACAAAAAGTCTCCATCTCCTAGATGCACAATGAAAGTGGACATTATGAAGGCTTATGATAATGTTAGATGGGACTTTGTTGTTGATGTTCTGAAAGCTGTGGGTTTCCCATCTAATATCATTTGCTGGGTTAAGGCTTGTATGACAAGCCCATTTTTTCTGTTTGTATAAATGGGAGTTTGCATGGGTACTTTAAAGGGGCCAGGGGCTTGAGACAAGGTGATCCGATGTCTCCTTATCTGTTTGTCCTGGTTATGGAGATTCTGGCTGAAAAGTCTACTCACCCTGATTTCTGTTTCCATTGAAGGTGTGGTAAGACTAGGATTGTCAATCTTTGTTTTGCGGATGATTTGATGATTTTTTGTAAAGGGGATGTATTTACTGTTAAGGCTATTAAGGATGGGCTAGATGAATTCCAAAGTCTTTCTGGTTTATCCCCTAGCCCCAATAAAAGTCATATCTTCTTCTCGGGGTGTGAGAAAAAGTTGCGTGATGATCTTATGAACGTTGTCAAATTTAATGAGGGATTCCTTCCTGTTAGATGCTTGGGTGTCCCTCTTATTTCAACCAAGCTCAAATCTAAGGATTGTGACCAGCTGGTGGAGAGGATTACTAAGAGAATTAAAAGCTGGACTAATAGATATCTCTCTTATGCTAGTAGAGCTCAATTGATTAAATCTATTCTTTTTTCCATGCAAGTGTATTGGTCTTCTTTGTTTATCTTGCCTAAGAAGGTTATCACTGCTATTGAGAGCCTGTTTAGATCCTTCTTTTGGTCTGGTTGTGACCGTAGGAAGCATAGTGCTAAAGTCTCTTGGGAGAAGGTCTGCTCTCGTAAATCTGAGGGAGGGTTGGGGTTTAAGTCTCTTGGAGTTTGGAATAAGGCTGCTATTGCTAAGCATGTCTGGTTCTTCTTCTCGGGTGGCGAGCAGTCAATGTGGTGCCAGTGGGTCAAGTCCTATTTATTGAAAGGTAAAAGTTTTTGGAGGATCAAGATGCCTAGTGACCCCTCTTGGGTCTAGAGGAAACTACTATCTCTTAGACCCATTATCTTCCCTTTGATTAAATTCAAAATAGGGAATGGCATGAGTGCTTTTCTTTGGTTTGATAATTGGCATCCTCTTGGGTCTTTATGGGTTAAATTTGGCAATAGAATTATTTATGACACTGCACTTGGCATGGATGCTAAGGTCAGTAACATTATCCATAACAATTCTTGGAATTGGCCTTGTGTCACATCTTAGGAGGTGAAGGAGCTGATTGATCATACTCCATCAAATGTCATCCCTACCTTGGGTAATGACCAAATTATATGGGCTCCTTTCCCTGATGGCAAATTCTCTATTAATTCAACTTGGAATTTTCTGAGAAAATCCTTCCCTAAAATTGGTTGGGCTAGGTTATTATGGGGGCCTCATAACATTCCGAAGGCTAGCTTTGTGACTTGGATGGCGATCTTAGGTAGATTGAACACTGGGGGACAGACTACAGATGTTTGGTACAGACCATCCCACTGACTGTGTTTTCTGTCATGATCCTATTGAGAACAATACTCATTTGTTTTTTGAGTGCCCTTTCTCTTGTAGAGTTTGGGAGTGTATTAAAGGTAGGCTCAATGTGGATTGGCCTAATAATCCTTGGCTTAAGATTATAGATCATGTGTTAAGATCTACTGGTGGTAAAACTCTCAGAGCAACTATTTCTAGGCTTGCTTTTACTTGCACTATGTACCATTTGTGGCTTGCTAGAAACAATAGAATATTTAGTAAGGAGTTGACTCCGGAAGAGGTTGTTATAAAATGCATCGTGGATATGGTTAGATTTCGAATGATGTCTATTACTAATCTGACAAAGCATTCTAGTGACAGCTGGTTCTCTAGCTCGTAGATGCTTCCCCATACTATCATGACAACTGTAGCCCCTGGAATAAGAGTTAGGAGTTCTGTAAATGTGGGTTGAGTGATGGTAGCATATATTGAGTGTTTTCTCTCATTAGTTTGCTCATTTTGCAGATTCATGGAAAGAGATCATGCAGTGTTCAATGTGAAGATCCTATACCTGTGGGTTGAGAGTCTTGTGAGGGCAATATATTACCACACCTATACTTCACCAGCCATATTTAGGAGTTCTAACATATATTGGTATATTGTTATCTCTTTTATGTGCAGGTACCTGGAGCAGCAGCAGTTTAGTGCTTTCGAGTGTTGTGAGGTTCTAAAAAGTGGGTTGAGTGTTGTGAGCTCATATAATGTGTGTTGTAGCAATGTGCTAGATATCACTATGGTTAGCCACATAATGTACATGCTATGCTTATCTTTCTTTTATTTTTGGACAGGGTTTGCTAATGCTTGCACTACATGTTGGAATATCCTGCTGGAACATCCGAAGCTCTTTGAGGGTTTGATGCAAGGTTTGACTAGTATTGGAAAGCATAATATTTTGGTTGAATGGTTGCTGTTTCGACTTGGCTGCTGCAATTGGCTCACTGTGATTGGGAAGCCGTGTACAGCAGTTTCTTGTTTGGTTCTAGAGTTTTACAATCACATAGTTTCGGTTTCTATTGTCATAGTGTGGAGGGTTGCTTGTAGCGCCGATGGAGTGAAGAAATTTTTATTTATGTGTATTTTGTTTATAAAATTGTGTAATCCTTCTTGTTTTTATACCTACCTTTGCGGGGTGTGCAAAGATTATGTCTTGTTTTACCAGTTTTGCTGTGATGGATGTTCATGGTCCACATTTTCAATGGGGACCATGAACATTTTCTCGCTGATTATTAGTCTCTCTGCCTGTTTAGTTGTTGGGTTGTTGTTTGTTGTTCGGTTCATGTTGGACATTTGTTTTTGATTTTTTGTTTACAGGTCTGTTTCCTTTTCTTGTTTGGATATGCATGGTTGCTGTCCGTTTTTTTTTTTTTTTTTTTTACAGGTCTGTTTCCTTTGTATAGTTATGGGTAGGGCCTGGGGCATGCCCCTTGTATTCTTGTGTTAGTTTTTTATTTTTATTTTATGACTTACCTACCCAAAAAAAAAAGACGATGTGGCCCAGACCCCCCTAGACGAGGGTGTTGAAGAAGAAGACCTTGCCTCAAGCGAGGATGAGTGATTGATTGTAAAGAAAAATTTGTAAACAAAATTTTTGTTTTTGTTATTTGTTTGTTTTTTGTTGTGTAATTGCTATAGTGGACTTATGTGTAAGTTTGTAAATAAATAAAATTATGAGTTTGTATTTTTTCATGTTGTTGTCTTTATTCCTTGTAGATCTGAAAAGAATGGTCACTCAAATAAGGCTGGTGTATAAATCATAGTAAAGGTTGAGAAGTAGGAGGCTAGTCTAACTGGGAAGAAAACCACAATGCAAAGTGAAGTTTAAAATGTGAGAATGTTAAAAAATGTGAAATTTCAAATCACGACCCAGTAGGGATCCAGTCTAATTTGTAGAACGTTGAATTGTAAAGGTCCTAAAATGTGAAGTTTTAAATCATGTGGTGAGAGTGTTGATAAATGGAAGGTTGGGTTGGGAAATGAAAGTTAAAAAATGTAAAGAGTGTTAAGAGGCATAAAAACATGGACCTGGAATTTTGACTAAGTATGGCAACTATGCTACAATCATGAAGTTGCAAGAATGGCCTTGTCCGAGCTCTTCATTCGTGCTCAGTTTGGGTTGAGCCATGATTAACTCGGTTTGGCTGACTCTTCAAGTAACTCAGTCTGGCTGAGCTCCTCATGCTCAGTCTGGCTGAGGCTTTAAGTAACTCAGTCTGGCTGAGCCCTTCATGCTCAGTCTGGCTGAGGCTTTTCATGTTTAATCTGGCTGAGGCTTTTCATGCTTAGTTTGGCTGAGCTCTTCATGCTCAGTCTGGCTGAGGCTTTTCATGCTCAGTCTGACTGAGGCTTTGAGTAACTCAGTGTGGCTGAGCTCCTCATGCTCAGTCTGGTTGAGGCTTTAAGTAACTCAGTCTGGCTGAGGCTTTTCATGCTCAGTCTGGCTGAGGTTTTTTATGCTTAGTTTGGCTGAGCTCTTCATGCTCAGTCTGGCTGAGGCTTTTCATGCTCAGTCTGACTAAGGCTTTGAGTAACTCAGTCTGGCTGAGCTTTTCATGCTCAGCTTGGCTGAGGCTTTTCATGCTCAGTTTGGCTGAGTGTTGCAGTTAGGACGTTATTGAAATACCACACAGATAACTGAGATATAAGATTGTTGTCATTTAAAGTGTAGCCCATTTGATCAGAAATTTACATCATGTGAGAGAAGAACAACAACATTCAAGTGTGTAGATTGTCAAAAACAAAATACAGCAACTGATCAATACAAAAATAGGACTTTATTAAAAATAATGCTTCAAGTGCTCGGCGTTCCACGGATGGGGTCGATCTCGACTTTCCATGTCCTGAAGTCGGTAAGTGCCCGGACGAGGTTTGGCCTTAACAACGTAAGACCCCTCCCACTTGGCTGCCAACTTGCCCTTAGCCAGATTTTTGGTAGCAAGTGTTGCTTCATGCAAAACAAGGTCCCCCACGGCGAACTCTCTCGATCGGACTTTGCGGTTGTAGTGTGTTCTCATTTTCTGTTGGTATGAGGCCCGCCTGACAACAGTGGTCTCTCGGAGCTTTTCAATCAGGTCTAGGTCTGCCCAACGCAGTTCTTCAGTTAGTTCCAAATTTGGGTGCAAAACCCTTGGGGTGGGTAGACCGATTTCCACTGGGATGACCACCTCAGCGCCGTATGTTAAGCGGAAAGGGGTCTCCCCAGTAGGGGTTCGGGCGATAGTGCGGTAGGCCCAGAGTACGTTTGGTAGTTCCTCAGCCCAGCGTCCCTTAGCGGATTCCAGCTTAGTTTTGATGATCTTCAGAAGAGAACAGTTGGTAACCTCAACTTGGCCATTGGCCTAGGGACGACCTGGGGAAGAGAAACACGGTTGGATTTGAAGTTTTGCACAGAATTTCCTGAACTTGACATTGTCGAATTGTTTGCCGTTATCGGAGACGATGGCTTGAGGGATGCCAAAATGGCACACGATCGACTGCCAGATGAATCTGGTTGTGTTTCACTCGGTAATTGTGGCAAAGGGTTCCACCTCCACCCATTTAGTGAAGTAGTCAATGGCAACGATTGCGAATTTGGTTTGGCCCCGACTAGTGGGCAAGGGGCCAACTAATTCAATCCCCCATTTGGCGAATGGGTACGGGCTGAAGAGTGTGATCAATTCAGTAGGAGGAGCATGAGGAATGTTGGCAAAGCGTTGGCACTTATCACATTTAAGCACGAATTCAGTGGCATCTTGATTGAGAGTAGACCAGAAGTACCCGGTGCGAAGCATTTTGTGGGCTAGTAACCTAGCACCCAAGTGATTACCACATACACCCTCATGGATTTCCCTCATCACGTAGGTCGCTTGAGTAAGATTGAGGCATCTGAGGTATGGGCGTGAAAAGCCACGTTTGTATAAGAGACCGCTGATAAGAATGTAGTTGGACGACCGGGCCCTGACCTTGGCGGCCTGGTGTTTGTCAACGGGCAATTCTCCATTTTCCAGAAATAGCAGGATATCTACAGCCCATGGGATAGGTTTATTCTGGAGGAAGTGAACTTGCTGCTGTTGTGGGGAAATGGCCGAGTGGGCCAGGTATTCAAGGCGAACGCCATGACTGAGGTCTGACTGGTCGGCAAAAGCTAATTGGGCCATTTCATCTGCCTTGGAATTTTCCGTCCGAGGGATGTGCTTGATGTGGAAATTATTGAAAAGGCGAGCAAGGGGGAGTGCAATAACCCTGTAAGCCCGCATTGTGTCTTCCTTGGCATCGAATTCCCCCGTGATTTGTCTGACAATGAGCTGGGAATAGCTGAACACTTGGATGTGGCTAACACCAATGTCTCTGGCGGGGCGAAGACCTGTGATCAATGCATCATATTCAGCCTCATTATTGCTTGCGTCGAACAAGAAGCGAAGAGCACACTTGAAATAACCACCCTTGGGGGCGGTGAGGATGAGACTAGCCCTACTGCCTTCTTTACGGGATGATCCGTCAACGTTGAGGGTCCAAAAGTGGGGGTCTTCTGCCTCAATCTGGGGTCGCAGGGGCGGTGGGACCGTAGTTAGAGTGGGATTAGTGAATTCTAAGATAAAATCAGCAACAGCCTGCCCTTTGATCACCGTTCGAGGTCGGTAAGAGATGTCAAACTGGCTTAGCTCGACCGACCATTGCATGAGTCTGCTGGACAACTCTGGTTGTTTTATTATCTTCTTCAAGGGTTGGTAAGTGAGGACCACTATGGAATGGGCTTGGAAGTAAGGACGGAGTCGTCTTGAGGCGGTGACCAAGGCCAAGGACATTTTTTCTAGTAGTGGGTAGTTCTGTTATGTGCCTCTGAGAGCCCGGCTAATGTAATAAACCGGGCGCTGTGCTGATCCGTCCTCCCAGATGAGAGCCGCACTAACTGTGGTGCTGGAGACGGCTAAATAGAGAAAAATGGGCTCACTTGTGAGCGCCTAAGAAAGTAGGGGAGGGTTGGCCATGCACTGCTTCAATTGTTGGAAAGCCTCCTCAGACTCGGTCGTCCACTCAAAAGTTTGCCGAAGAACTTTGAAGAAGGGGAGGCACTTGTCCATTGCATGGGAAATGAAGCGGTTGAGGGCGGCGACTCTGCCAGTAAGCCGCTGAACCTCCTTAACCGATCTGGGTGACTGCATTTCTATCAAGGCCTTGATTTTTTCGGGGTTAGCTTCGATGCCCCGCTGACTGACCATGAAACCCAAGAACTTCCCAGATCCTACACCGAAGGCACATTTCTCTGGATTGAGCTTCATTTGATACTTTCGTAGGGTGCCGAAGGTCTCTCGCAGGTCGGCCAGATGATCAGTGGAGAGTTTGCTCTTGACTAGCATGTCATTGACATATACTTCCATGTTCCGGCCTATCTGATGATGAAAGATGACGTTCACCAACCGTTGGTAAGTGGCTCCGGCATTTTTTAACCCAAATGGCATGACACGATACTGGTAGGTTCCCCGGTCGGTGATGAAGGAGGTGTGTTCTTGGTCAGACGGGTGCATCAGAATTTGGTTGTACCCAGAGAAGGCATCCATGAAGCTGAGCATTTGATGAGCAACCGTGGGGTCAACAAGCAGATCTATGTGAAGAAGGGGGTAACTGTCTTTGGGGGCAAGCTCGGTTGAGGTTGAAGTAGTCGACACAGA